TTTTTCCCAGTTATCAAGTGCAGTATCCTTGTAAGTAATTCGGTGGGTGTATACCCATGCTTCCCATAATCTTCATTCTTTGTTATAGCTCTAACTCTCATGACACATGTCGGCACATCATTAGTCTATTTGACGAGTTTATTTTGCAACCAATACACTCTTGTAAAGGGTAAAATATGCTATGGTAAGTGATTGCATAATGGAGTGACACATGGAGCCGAGGTAGAGGATAGCTAAAACTGAAGACAACTGTTCCATCTGTTACCAGAAAGAATGGTGCTCATAAAGATGTAATAAATGCCTGCCATTCTACAGCATTTAGTACACTGCTCGTTATAAAGAATTTGTCATTCATGCTCGCCGTTACACATTCTTCAATGGCCCTCATAATTGAAATTAAAAAGGGGCATAGACAGTCGTGAACTCTATTATCATTGTAAAAGACACGAATTTTCTGAAAAACTTATGCTATAATCTATTCAATGATTTACACAATTTTATCTTCTTGATTTTTGATTTCATTTTTCTTGTGCCCGAAAGCCCTGCTCCTGGAACTACTCTTTCTGCTATTTTATCTTCATCTCAAGGCTAAGTATCGCATATTTATTCGATTCTCCTTTTACGGATAAACAATTTGGCACCCACTCTGGGGCCTAGATAGTCATGTAATTAAGTTGGTCCTTACCTCTTTTACTAACATATTTTGAATATTAGTTCGTAGCAAAAATCACAGAAAATGGCAGATAATGTTGTTAACAACACACACAATCATAAGGCCTAAGGAGAACAGCCTCAGCACGAGGATTCAATCAGTGGTACCCGCAATTAGGGGAATAAAACCATGCCGATCTACGACAGGCGATACCCGCAACATGTTTAGGAGGTGACTCCCGATAATGTTGAAGAAGCGCATGTTGTTGAAGCAGTAAGGGTCCTGAAGGAGCAACAAAAGGTCATTCTAGTCCATCTCACACGACCGAATAAGGTTATGATAGAACTAAAGCAAGTGTTGTCGGGCGCTTCCGATAATGCGAATTGATGAGGTCTAGTTCCTCCCGGTGCTCCTACAATTTAAACAACGTAAAACTTTGACAACAACACCCCGAAGGGCGAGGTCGACTTCGATAGGCCGGGGGAGCGGACCCGGTCACAACAACGAGAGCGATCCCTTCAAAAGCAAACTTTTGCAGTTTCTGAGGGAGGTGAATGCCCGCATGGACCAAATCCCGGGTGCATCCTCGGTGCTGAAAGGTCCAGACTCAAAAAATTATACCCGGTTACCGTACAAACCAAGCACTGCACTATAATTGATCCCAAAGCGGTTTATAAGGGACGACGTGCCAAAATATGATCGTACTTTTGACCCTCAAGAGCATATTACCACCTATACAAAGACGGTGAAGGGGAACAATTTAGCTCTCCATGAGATCGAAACTGTTTTACTGAAAAAATTCAAAGAGACTCTCACAAGGGGAGCCTTGATGTGGTATTCACTATTAACCAAACATTCCATGGATTCCTTTGAGATTCTCGCGGATTCTTTCATTAAGGCTAATGTCGGGGACCGAAAGGTGGAGGCTCTAAAGGCCAACATATTCAGAATTTCACAAGGAGAGTACGAGCTGTTGCGATAATTCGTAACTCGATTCCAGAAGGAGCGAATGTTGCTCCTGGTTGTTCCGGATCAATGGGTGGCTAAAGCATTCACCAAGGGTTTGAATCTGAGAAGTTCTGATGCTTCCTGAAGTTGAAGAAAATCCTGCTCGAATTCCAAGTGACGACTTGGGCGGATGTTCACAACCAGTACGAGTCAAAGATAAGTATTGAAGATGATCAGATCGGCATCCCGGCATCGGCTAAAGGTCGGGACAAGAATAAAGAAATATCAAAAGACAATTTCGACATAGATACACAGTTCTTGAGGGGCTGGTTTTTGCCCTGCAAACGGGCCGAAGGACGTGGCAGAGGTTTTCGGTTGGCAGACAGGTTCGTTACCGATAGAAGTACAAATCGTGGTTGGAACAACATGTCATTGCAGGACATAGAAGTGTCAGGTTCTTAGGATCCATCCTATCCCAAGCTATCAGAAAACAACTTCAACTTCAGTGTAGTAGAGTTGGTATCAGCTATGTGGAACATTAAAGAAACATGGTTATGTCACGCCCCAAGCCTGAAGAGGCGTGGCCATCACCCGATGCCATAATCGGCCCAAGTGTACCACTCTGTAACTCTGAACTCTAGAGGGGTAACGCTCAACTTAGGCCGATGAGGCCATATTCTAAATCGTTTGAAAATAACGTCTCTCTTATATGAGGGGTAAATATACCCAAAAGCTGATATATATATAATTGTGTAGGCCAACGAATTCGCCATGAACATCAACTACAAAATATGCAGGACTCGTCTACAAGCCTCTGGAGATAACTGAACTGTACCATGGTCGGGAGCCTCGACCTACCCATCAAACTTGCATATATAAAATGGACTCCAAGTTCTAGACCTGGTAACTCCGAGGAAGTGGAGCTTACCAACCCAGCTGATGTTTGGCTATATCTGCTGGGAGGGTCTGTCCAACTGTCACTCAGGACCTGCAGGCATAAAATGCAGTGTCCCCGGCAAAAGGGACGTCAGTATGGAATAATGTATCGAGTATGTAAGGCAACACAATAACTAAAAGCTGGAATTGAACTGATAATATAATAACTGAAAGTAACTGGGAGTCAAACATAATCTGAAGATATGCTTACCAGCTGATACTGACTCAACTTTCTCGGTATAGTAATTAGAATAGCTTTCCGACCTTATAAGGCTCGGTATGTGTAACTGCTCTGCCATAATAGGCTCGCTCATAGGCGCTCGACCATACTAGGCTCTGTATCTCGGCCATTTTAGGCTCGCTCATAGTCGCTCATCCACAGTAGGCTCGGTATATAACTTACCATCCGATCAGAGGTTTCCCAATAGGCGCCTGCCCATTGATTATAGCTCTATGGTGGTAAAAATACTATAATACTATATATATATATAGACTTCTCTTGGCTGAAAGAAGACAAAACTACGTTGAATACAAAGTTCTGATAAGGGAGAATGCTGTGACTTATGAGACTAGGACAATGTACATAAATTTAGGAATATGAACTTCTCTTTTTATCTCGTTATCAAACATATGTAGTTATTGGATCATGCCAAAATGAAGGAAAGGTTTAAATATACTTGATCATAGTATTTCCAATCACCAAGTTGAACTCACCTCTTCGCACCTTAATCTACAACAACGATAATAATACTATCATTTAGTTACAAAATTTACAACTACCGCACAACGAACGAAAAGCTAAAAAGGGAAGCATCTCCCCTACATATACATTATTTTCCAACCTTATATACACCACGAAACTACAAAATAGCCCAACACACCCCAATCTCTTCATACACAAGACGACCACCGTAGTAGTGTCAAACAACCCGAATATGTTACGTCGAACGACCAGCCCTACACCCTGCATTTATGTGGTTTTTCTCCACACCCTTCCTCCTCCAAAACTCTATAAAACAGTAGTAAAACATGCAATCCAACAGCAATACAAAGAAATCCACAAAACAGTCCGCTACAAGTGAATAACTCGAAATCACGGCTTTCGATCACCGTCCCGTGAGTTCTTACAATAATATAACGACTTTCCATACATCTCCAAAATAAAAAATGGATAAAAGAGAGCAGTAAACATACTATATTTGTTGAATAACTCATCTCCTATCTTCGTTCTTCAAACACTAGGTTTTACCTCCAACTAGAACTTGAAAAGGAGAGAAAATCAATTAGGGTTTATGGGCAATTTTTGGGAGGATGTTAGCAAGGGGTTATGTCCTGTTATTGTGTTATATAATTGAGTGTTATATATCAGGAGATAAGCTCTTAAATGGGCTCTTTGGCCGACCCGAAATAGCCCCTTTTGGACTCTCATTTAAGCAAGTAGGTGGCACACCTACTTGTTACCTAGTAGTTTGCGGAGTCTCGCGTAAACACACATATCTCTCTACTCCGATGTCATATTGACAAACGATTTAATGAGTTAGAAAATAGTCTCATAGATCTTCAATTTGGCAGGTAGATCATCCCCTAATTCCAAGTATTTTGAGAGAAAATCGCATCTACATATGACCTAATGTTCAGCACATTTATGAATGTAACTTGTGATGACCTTTGCCAAGTTTTGTTCCACAACTTGCTTGACTTAAAAACATAGCACATGAATATCATACGACTAGAATAACTCATAATATAACCTATTTATCTTGTTAAGCACCCTAGTCTTATCACAAAAGTACACGTTATAACATTCCCAACTTGTCGACATTCAACGAAACTTATTTTCTTCAATTTGTTTAGATTCTTAGCCTTTCAACCATCTTGATACATGTTATCAATGATCTTAAAGATTTGTAATCTCCAAGGTAACATGATTAACTTACTTTATGTACTCTCAAAGATGATGTCATTTTTGAGCTTACATCAATTGACTTACGAATTCCCTTTCATACGAAGATATGGGGTGTAATAGGTTCCTGAAACTGATGAGGTCCAATCCTAGCCAGAGGGACCCTAATTTGTGGTGCAAATACTACAGGATGAACGGCCACCGAATTGGGACTGCCGACGTCTGTGCAAAGAGGTGGCAACACTACATAAAAATGGCCATCTCATGTAATTCATAAGTGATCGGGCAAAAATAATTACGGTCGCAACCATGATACACGGATCCCTAAAAATGGGAGATGATCCCTCTCGCTAGATGATCAACATGATTTTCGGGGGGAATGAAATTAACGGGGTTACCTTCTCGGTAGCAAGAAATACGAAGATAACGGTAACCCATGATAAGAGGCTTCGGGAAGTCGTTGAGGAAACCATCACTTTCATAGAGGAACACACAGACGGACTATTGATACCGCAACGACATATTGGTAATTTTATTAAATGTCTTAGATTTCAAAATCAAATGTCTTCTGGTGGATCCAGGGAGTTCGGCCAATATTATACAATGAGGATATTGGAACAAGACAAACTTACCGGAAGCATCATTCGGGCCACAAAACTCCTCAGTGAATTCAACCTCGCAAGCATAACAACCCGAGGAGAGATCCTGCTACCCAAAAATGCCGAGTGGGTGATGAAGACGACCCTTTTTGAGGTTGTAGACGGTGATATGGGTTACAACATTATTCTGGGAAGACCGTGGTTCCAGGAGATGAAATCCGTGCCTTCAACGTATCATCAGTTGCTGAAATTCCCAACTCCTGAGGGGATTAAACAGAGTAAAGGCGATCAACCGCTGGAAAGGGAAATGAATGCGATTTCAATCTCGAGTAGCAAAGGGAAGTAGCATGGGGCATAGCAATTACAGGAACCAGCGTCTAATCCTATATCAAGTGAAGTCAACCAGGAGGAAGAGGCATCGAAATCTTATCAGGTGCCAAGGTATTTCCAAGTACCAGAAGAGACAAATGCAACAATGTCCACAGCAGAAGATCTTGAGCAAGTCGCATTATTTAAAAAGTTCTTGGAGAGGAAACTCCACCTGGGAACAGGACTGCACCCTAAGATCAGGTCTGGATTTATTAAATTTCATATATTTAATGCTAATTTTTTTTTCATGGTGCATGCAGATATGACAGGTATCCCAACGGAAGTGGCCGTACACAAGTTAACCTTGGATCCCAGCATCCATACGATAAGACAAAAGAAACGCCCTATTGTGGAGGCCAGAAATAAATTCGTCAAAATAGAGGTAACTCACCTACTTGATATAGGTTCTATCCAAGAGGTAAAGTATCCGGACTGGCTATCTAACATAGTAGTAGTTCCTAAGAAGAACAATAAATTTTGCATGTGTATAGACTATAAGGACTTGAATAAGGCATGCCGAAAGGACTCATTCCCACTGCTAAACATTGATCAAATGATTGATGCAACGGTCGGGCACGAGTTAATGAGTTTCCCCGATGCTTATTCCGGATACGTATTTCGCCACTTATTTCTATAATGTGATGCCCTTCGTGCTAAAGAACGCCAGAGCCACTTATCAGCGGCTCGTAAACAAGATGCTTGAAAAACAGATTGGGAAAACCATGGATGTTTATATATTTGATATGCTTGTTAAGACTTTGAACGCAGGTGATCATCTTAAGCATTTACAAGAAACATTTGACATCCTAAGAAAGCATAACATGAAGCTTAACCCTAAGAAGTGCGCATTCGGGGTAAGCTCCGGCTAGTTCCTAGGATTTAAGGTGTCACAAAGGGGGATTGAGGCAAACCCGATAAGATCAAATCCATCCAAGACACCCCGGACCAGCTATCTAGTGTAAAAGAGGTTCAAAGGCTCACAGGGAGATTGGCCGCTTTGAGCAGGTTCATTTCCCGGTCATCAGAGAAATGCCACAATTTATTCGTGCTGCTAAAAAAGAAAAACTATTTCGAATGGACCTCGGTATGCCAGCAGACTTTGAGGGATTCAAAAAGGTACCTGTCATGCCCTCCGTTATTATCAAAGCCGGAGGAAGGTGAAAAATTGTTAATCTACCTAGTAGTCTCGAAGGTAGCGGTAAGCGCCATTTTAGTCCTTGAGGACGAAGGTATGCAATCTCCCATTTATTACATTAGTAGAATTTTAATGGGAGCAGAAACTAGCTACCCACATTTGGAGAAGCTGGACTTAGCTCTTGTAGTCGCCGCTCTAAAGATGAGGCCTTACTTCCAATGTCACCTGATAGCTGTGGTGACCACCTTTCCCTTGCGAAATATCCTTCACAAAACCCAAATCTTCGGTAGGTTGGGCAAATGGGCCATCAAAATTATTGAATTTGACATAGAGTAGAAACCTCAGACTGTGATTAAGTCACAAGTTTTGGCTGACTTTGTGGCCGATTTCAGTTCGGGACTGCTGCCACTGTCAACCAAAGAAGCACTGATGGTGTCAAAATCGACATTGGAAGTTTGGAACTTATTTACAGACATAGCTTCCAACATAAAAGGGGTCCGAGCTTCGCATAATGTTAACCACGCCTTCAGGAGAAACCCTAACGAAGGTCATTAGAACGGTTCCTTTGACTAATAACGAAGCAGAGTATGATGTTTTGGTTGCAAGACTTGAATTGGCCAGGGCACTAGATTCTAAGGTCATAAAAATCAAATGCGACTCCTAGCTGGTGGTAAATCAAGTCTACGGGATCTTCGAAACCAAAGAGGCTCCCATGCACCCATACATAGTGAAGGTTCATGCACTTATTGCTCGATTCTGGGAGTGGTTATCATACATATATCAAGGGAATAAAATTCAGAAGTGAATGCATTGGCTAACCTCGGTTCATCAACGGAAATGAAGGGATTAGATTCCAGGATGGTAGTACAGCTCATGCACTCGATTCTGGACGCATATAGCTACTATGAGGTGAATATGACTAATTTGGTATGGGACTGGAGGAATGAGATCATTGATTATCTCAAACACAGGAAGTTGCTGGAAGATTCCAAGGCATCCCGGGCACTACGCACCAAAGCAGCACGATATAGCTTCAAATGAGGCCAATTGTACAGGAAATCTTTCAAGGCCCGCTGGCCCGATGCTTGGGAGCCTCCGAAGCTAATTATGTTATGGGAGAAGTCCACAAAGGGATATGTGGAGATCATTCGGGCGCAGACTCTTTAGTGCTAAAACTGGTAAGGGCAGGATACTATTTGCCCCGAATGGAACAAGACGCCAAAGCTTTCATGCAAAAATGCGATAAATGTCATTTCTACGCACCACTGGAACATCTACAAACCAAACCATTGCACTAAATTTTGTCTCTATAGACGTTCATGAAGTGGGGAATGGATATCGTCGGAACAGTGCCGCCATCCCTTGGTAAGATAAGATTCATTTATTTTTAACTGACTATTTTTCTAAGTGGGTTGAAGTAGGTCCTTATCAGAAGATCGGCAAACATGAGGTGGTGGATTTCTTGTGGGAAAACATAATTTGTAGATTTGGAATACCAAAAGAGATAGCCTACAATAACGGGCCACAGTCACGAAGTTCCTTGAAGACCTGAAAATCAAAAGAATCACATCTTCGCCCTACTATCCAAGCTCAAATGGTCAAGCAGAATCAACGAACGAAGTAACAACAACAACAACAACAACCCAGTAGAATCCCACAAGTGGGGTCTGGAGAGGATAGTGTGTACGCAGACCTTACCCTTACCCCGAAGGGGTAGAGAGGCTGTTTCCGAAAAACCCTCGGCTCAAGCTAATAAAAAGACAAAAGGAGAGAATATTAGATTCATCACGAAGATCATAGGAAAAACAGGAACATAAAATGCGGAAGAAAAATGCAAAGCAAAAACGATGGCTAGTAAGTGGAACCTGCGTCGAAAATAGAAAATAGTAAGAAACGACATTACCCCTAGCTATCTTAGACAAAACCCTACCGGACTAGGCTCACAAAGACACAAAGTAACGCAAGACTCAACTACCTCCTAGCCTACAACCATAATACTCGACCGCCACAACTTCCTATCAAGTATCATGTCCTCGGAAACCTGAAGCCTCGCCATATCCCGCCTGATCACCTCTCCCCAATACTTCTTAGGCTGCCCTCTACATCTTCATGTGCCTTCCACAACTAGCCGCTCACACCTCCTTACTGGAGCATCTAGGCTTCTCCTCTATACATGCCCGAACAATCTGAGCCTCGCTTCCCGCATCTTCTCATCAATGGGAGCCACATGCACCTTCTCCCGAATATCATCATTTCTATTCTTATCCATCCTAGTGTGCCCACACATCCACCTCAACACCTCATTTCTGCTACTTTCATCTTTTGGATATGTGAGTTCTTAACAGGCTAACACTCAGCCCCATACATCATGGCCGGTCTAACCACCGCTTTATGGAGCTTACCTTTGAGTATCGTTGGCACTCTCTTGTCGCACAAGACTCCAGATGCTAACCTCCACTTCATCCATCCTACCTCAATACGGTGTGTGACATCCTCGTCGATCTCCCCTCCTCCGTGGATAACCGAACCAAGGTACTTAAAGCTGCCTCTACTTGGGATAACCTGTGACTCAAGCCTCATATTCATGTTGACTTCCCCCGGCTCGGCGCTGAACTTACACTCGAGGTATTCCGTCTTCATTCTTCTTAGCTTGAAACCCTTAGACTCAAGCGTCTGTCTCCAAACTTCCAATCTCTCATTAACACCGGCTCGTGACTCATCAATCAGAACTATGTCATCGGTGAATAGCATGCACCACGACACCTCCCCTTGAATATGGTTTGTTATCGCATCCAACACCAGGGTGAATAAGAACGGACTGAGCGCAAAGCCTTGGTGTAACCCCATCTCAACCGGAAAATGCTCAGAGTCGCCTCCTACTGTCCTAACCCTGAGTCTTAGCCCCATAATACATGTCCTTAATTGCCATAATATAAGGAACCTACACACCTTTTGCCTCCAAGCATCTCCAGAGAACTTCTCTAGGAACCTTGTCATACGCTTTCTCCAGGTCAATAAACACCATGTGCAGATCCTTCTTTCTCTCTCAATACAATTCCACCAACCTCCTAACAAGGTGTATAGCTTCTATGGTGGAACGACCCGGCATGAACCCGAATTGGTTATCGGATACAGACACTGTCATCCTCACCCTCGCTTCAACCACCCTCTCCCATACTTTCATGGTATGACTCAGTAGTTTGATACCCCTATAATTGTTGCAACTCTGGATATCACCTTTGTTCTTATACAGTGGAACCACCGTACTCTACCTCCACTCATCTGGCATCCTTTTTGCCTTAAAAATAACATTCAACGATCAAAATAATTATACAAAATCTCAAAAAGAGGCTGGAAGTAGCTAAAGGTAAATGGACTGAGGAACCCTGGAGTGCTATGGGCACACCGAACAACGGCGAAATCGAGCACTGGAGAAACTCCTTTCTCCCTTGTGTATGGGGTAGAAGCCTTAATCCTAGTGGAAGCAGGGGAACCTACCTTGAGATATTTCCAAGCAAGTGAAGAGACAAACAATGAAGCAATGTTAGTCAAATTGGAGCTATTCGATGAGCGCAGGGACTTGGAACATATAAGAATTGTAGACCAAAAGCAAAGAATAGAAAGATATTACAATCGAAGAGCAAACCTCCATTATTTCAAAGTGGGAGACTTGGTTCTAAGGAAAGTAACTTAGAACACCTGGAACTCAACGCAGGGAAGCTAGGTCCATCATGGGAAGGCCCCTACCAGGTTTCAACTATCATCGGGAAAGGTTCATACGAGTTGGAGGATCAAGATGGAGAAAAGTTGCCAAACAATTGGAATGTGGCGCACCTTAAGAG